CTTTAGTGACTTTTGTAGATGTTTACAGAGGTAGGTCTCAGAGTTCAGGAGGGTTTTAAGCTTAAATAGAAGTATGTGAGTTTTTCTTTAGGGGCAGGAGTTGCTGATACTCTGCTAAATGAGGTAAACTTGCACCCACTGTTTCAAACGAGTTTAAAGGGCTTCCAAAAATGTGTGTGCTTGCCATCACAACGCTGAGAGCAGTGACAGTGCCTGGGTCCTGCAGGAATGCAGCACTGGGGACTCCCCTGCCTGCAGGGGCTGGGCTGGGGAGGGAGCTCAGAGGAAGGGAACTTTTGGGGCAGCTGCTGAAGGGCTGAAGATGAACTCAGTGTAATGCAATAACCTCCTCCTGGAGGTCCTCATTGACCCTGGCTGAGTTCCTGGCACGCTGGGCAGCAGCTCTGGGCAGCCTGGCTGGCAGAGCCCAGACTGCCAGGAGGGCTGGGCATGGAGCCTCAGCCATGGGCTGTCCTGACTGCAGCATCCAGGGCTCATCCCCGGGGTTTGTTCTGACCATCTGGGGAGGCACTTCTGACTGACCCTGGCAGGAACAGTGGGAGGCACTGGCACCTCCTGAACAAGCTTTCAGGAACCTCTGACATTACCAGAGGCTTCCTTGCAGTGGGCACAGTCAGCAGCACTGCTGGTTTGGTGCAGGGACTTTAACTTCTCCATAAATACTGTCCTAAAGTTAAGGTTTTTTAAGAAAATAGAATTTTAGTGCCAGTGCCATCTTAACTGAAAGCGAAAGCACAAACTTCGACAGCTTGAAAACTACCTTAAAAATTCTTTTGTTGGCAGCTAAAGAAGGTCACACTGCCTCAGAAGAGATTCAAACTTCTGATATCTCAATTTTTTCCCTTAAATTTTGTTTGAATCTTTACCATGTTCCCAGGTGCTATTCAGAGGGGGGTGGGTGTAGAATTTCACCTTGCCCATGTGTGTAACTGTTCCTTGCTGAGAGTAATTGTGAATTACCAGAAATTAGTGCAATACAACCACTTTCTCCCAGCTTAAAAATTACATAATGCTTTGAGTTCAAGGTATTATGCAGAGCTTTTTTCTTTCTCTTTTTTTCACTGAGTGACTTGCACTGAATCCTTTAGCTTCCTTCTCATAAATCTAAGTGGAAGAAAATACATTTTGCTCTTTCATTTGTAAAGTCCAGAATAAGAAATCACACTTTATGAGACTTTAAATGAAGGAACCTGGCAATGTAAGTATTGTAATTTCTTCTGTGTTTGTGGTAGGCAATAGGATGACCTTGTTAAACTTACGGGTTATGTATGAAAAGTATCAGAACAGTAAGGGCAAATTGAAAAGAATTTTGTAGTTGCCTTTACTTCATATGCTTTTCTTAAGCAACAATTTGCAATAATTGAAGTTTGGCAGCTTTTTTTTTTTTTTTTTTAATTAAAAAAACTAAATTCTGGGTTAAACACCTTGGTTTAATACAATTTGTGTTTCTGTTAACTAGCAGCAGAATTTCAGCATTTGCTACTTACTGGTAGAGAAGAAAAATTCCACAGCACTGCCAGTACAGGTTAGTTTAATCTGTAAGTACCTGATGTTCCTATTTGAATTAATTTGTTCAAATGATACCACTTAAATACATGAGGGGAATTTTGGTCTCTGAACTGTGATTGTTATCCTACTACTGATTTCAGTAGTGAGTGAACATCTAGATTTTTTTTTTGGGAGATCTGTAATGGATTTAACTGTGCTTGTGGGCAGGTAATAAATACCTGCAAGCACCTCTAAGGAAAATTTAATTCAGAACCATAACAAATAGCCTTTGTTACTGGGAAGTGTGAAGATGTAAAGCTGAAATCACTCCAGTAACATTCCCTTATTGAAGAGGCTGTTTTTTATCAGCAAACCCACAGGATCCTGTGTTTGTTGTGTTGGGGATGAAGCATTTCTGTTTGTAAACTCCATAGCAGTAATGTAATCTTTGGGTTTCCTTTAGCTCTTACTAATTACCATTTCCTACCAACAGATCTTTACTTTGCTAGGCCTGTGAGCCAGGAGCTTGTTCTTCTCTGCTTTTTTTTAATCTTTATTTTTGTTAGTCCATTGCAGCACTTCAGAGGCCACCTACAAATGTGGGTTTGTCCAGCTGTTTTATCTTACTCCAGAGTTACTGCTGTACCTCTATTTTACTTCTGCCCTATCCCATATTCTCAGATATTTTGGCATTTTATTTTCATTTTATACAATATTTTACACCTGACAAGAAAATAGGAGAGGTTCTTTGTGATGGGATAAAAGATTGCACCTTTCTCCAGAGTGGCTGCAGACATTTATTTGTATTTAGACTTTCTGTATCTCATTTCTACATATCAGCACAGGAGATAACAACTCCTTCTGTGCTGTAGCACCAAGCATAGATCCACAGCTGGATGGGCTGTAGAACTGTGCTTTAATTCACTTTTCAAGGCCATGTTATCACACTGAGGGGTTTTGACATCGTGGGTGGATAATTCCATAGACAGAAGGTGCTGGGGGGGTCAGAGTAAAGAGGGAGCTGAACAGACACTTCATTTGTGCAGCTCATCTGGAGGGCTGCAGTGGGTTGTGAGTGTCCTGCCCCTTGCAGTGGTACTGTTTGTTGTAGAATTCTGAGATCTTTCCCAGTGCTGCAGAATTCACCAAACACACACACTCTCAAGGGGACTGTACCTTCCCAGGCTCCACAATAGTTACACTTGCAGCCCATCTCTGGCATCTTCTTTACATCAGTTCTCAGGAATTCACACTAAACTGCTTTGTCTGCAAAACTAATGTTGCACAGGGAAAAAGGGGAAGTCCTGTATATTGAAATGTATAACTTAGCTCTGCCTGTGTTTGCTTCCTCCTGGTGGCAGGGGTGTGTGAGTGGCAGGGACACCTCGCTGGGAGGCCGTGTCCTGGTGACAGGACGTGTGGTGTCACCTGTGTGGGTGACCCTCCCTCCTGCACTCAGTGCTGAGCTGGACTGAGGGACTGGAGGCTCCTGCCTGCTCAGGGACCTCATGCAGCCCTGCTGCTCACAGTGCTTGGTGCCACCTGCACTGCTTGTGCCCCAGCCTGGCAGTCAAGGGGATAACCAGAGGGTGCAGCGTGTTCCACACTGTCCTAACCAATTTGTGCAGGGTAGGTGCTGCTACAGCTCTGGGAGAACATCATCCCTGTGAGTCCAGTCCAGTGTGGTTCAGCACTCTTCCCCCAGTTCTGGAACAGTACAGATGGAGCAGGTTGGCATTTCCCACTACTTCCTTAGACTTCTTGCTGACTCCCAGCTCCCCCTTCAGGGTTTCTGGACACTGCAGTGAACCCAAGCTGAGCAAACTCCAAGCTGGTTTTAGTGCCTTCCTAGAGCCCAGGAGTGAGCTGTGTCCCCTCTTGTCCCCTCTCAGTAGCAGTACAGCCACACAAACGAGTGTCTGGTGAAGGCTTCTGCTGTCACTTGATACTGCTTTGTGTAAGTGGTGTGAAAGGGCTGGGATTACTGATCTTTTTCAAAAGACAGGTGGTGTGGCAAAATACTGATGTTGAATTTAATTGGAGAAAGTGAGAGACTGGTAAGTATGTGCATCACTTTAATGCATGCAAATAATAACTAGCTTAATTTTATAGCATTCAGTTTACAAAGAAGATTCAAAGAAAACATGGAGCAAATATTTGCTTCCACTGGGAATCTGCTATGAACTGTGTGCTTCAGCAATGGATCATTGTAATGTGTAACCACTTTGTAACAGTCTCTGATTAAAAGAAGTGAACCACTGTTTCTGTGTGGTATTTTTTCTCTTGTGAACCCATCTAAATTACTATTGCCAGAAACGTTATGGTGTGAATAACTTGGTACCAGCTTTTTAAATGTAAGCTGCAAAGACTTGCTCACATGAGTGTTACCTTAAAGTGGAGATAAGCAAGAGAATCCTGACTTCTTAACTGTAACTTCCTCCTGCTGTTGATTTGCTGTCCTGCTGAGCAGACTGTACAGGAATTTGACTGCTGAAGTTGGAAGAGCTGGGGAATGTGGGGAAAAGTTTGCAGCAGTGTTTTCATCAGAGCTGGAGGAGGAGGAGTGGTGTGAGGGGCTCTGTTCTGCCCCTCTCCTGGCACAGCCCTGCAGAGATGGAATGGGTGTGTCCCTGTCCTCATGCACAGGGTGAGGATGGACTGCTGGGCTGGGCTGGTTTGGGCTCATTTAGCCACCACTGTACTCACAGATTAATTTCTGAGAGAGTGTTAAAAGGAAGATAAATCCAGGTTTTAATGCCACCTGGAACAATGGCTGGCATTTTGAACGGGGGATGTGTGATGAGATGCTTAGCACCGAGTGGAGGGGCCTTCAGGGAAGATGCTGCTCTGCACGAGCTCTTTGTCCTCTGGCCCTTTTGGCTCCAGGGAAATCTGAGGGGGCATTTGGAAGATGGGAACTGCTTTGTCCTAAAAGCTGGCTAGAGCAGGGGGGTGGTGTGTGTGGCTGCCTCAAACCCCCCCAGTGTGAGTGTGGCTGGGAAGGGGGCTCTGTGCCTGCTGCCCTGGGAGCCTCTGCAGCTCTGTGGCACCCCAGGAATTCATCTGTAAGTTGAGACTTCTTAAATCTTGTTTTTCCTGGAGGGTGTGGGGGGTCAGGTGAAGAGTTTGCAACCAAGCTTTCAGTTTCTTGGAGGTACAATGGATATATTTGAAAAGACTTCTGTAAGTCTTTCCTTCCTCAAAGGAGAGGCTCGAGCATCTGCACCAGGGCTGGGGGGCAGAGGGGCCTTTCTCTGGCCCTCCAGCTCTCTTGCTCCTGGCAATTGTTCCTGCTCCCTGAGGCCAGAAGGTGAAGGCTTGCACTAGAAAATAATCTTGGTTTCATCCTGTTTCTTCTGAATTCACAGTGGCCTGCAATTCCTTTTACCGTTTTTGACCGTGCCCAGATTTTGACTGAAGTTGGAAAAGCAAATCATACCTTGCTACTGTTAGAACTGCATCTTCAGGTAGGGTAATAAAGCTCCTGTAGATACGGTAATTCTTCATAAAGAATGTTTATTGGATAAAAAAAGTTATAGGACAGATTTTCTGGCAGTTTTAATCACAATATTTTCTGTCAAGCAGTGCAAAGCTCCAGCAATATCAAGCAGCTTTATTATTAGAAACAGTGTGACATGATCATTGTAAACTTTGCTGAAAAACAAACTCCATTGCAATTCTCAAGGAATGGGTATAAATTTAATCCTGTACTCTGTACACATTCCTTGGATGATAATGCAGAAACACCAAGTGCAGGAATTGTTTGGACTCATAACAGTGCTGACAAATAATCTTGTGTGTCATTCATGTCTTTAATGCTCGTGTGCCTGCACCCTGCCCCAGATCCAGCTCTATCTAACGCTGCCTAAAAGGCTGCAGAGGAGAAAAAACTCCAGCCAAATTCAGTAGGAGGTAAGATAAGGATACAAAAAGGTTTTAATGAGCCTCCAGGAATACCACACCACCTGAGCACAGGGCTTTACAATTTTTATGATGATTTCCACCCAATCCCTGTTCTGCCACAGCCCCTGTTCTGCCCCTGACACACCTTTGGGGAATTGAGTCTGGGGGCATTTGGGACCCCCTCTGCCTCATTTCATCTTCCTTGGAGCATGTGCTGTTCCTGGAGGCCTTGCAGGGCTCTGGGCCTGAAGGTCCTTGTGTCTATGGCTGTATCTGCTTGTGCAGATTTTAGGGTGTTCTCTACAATTCTACCTTGAAAATGAGACTAAACAGGCTAATGGAATTTAGGGGAAGGGATATGGGAATGGGGAACAGGGTTTGCTATGTTTTTTTTTCATTTGCTATGTGTAACTACTGTGTTAAGGGATAATATACTGCTACTTTAAAATCTACATTCACTACATAACTACTTCTGAAATCTACAAAATTTAAAAAACCCAACCCCCTAAGGTAGCACTAATAAGGTAATATTTACCCAGAGAAGCAGTGAAATAAAATCTGACGTCTGTTTTTTTTATCAGTTCTGATGTTTGCAAAGTCAGCTTTAAAACTGCTTCTCTGCTGGCTGTTTCCAGTAGTTAATTGTGGATTTCTTGCTCCCTGGTGCTCAGCCAGGGCAGTCCCCTTTTAGTTTCAGGTGTGTCAGTGGACACCTGCAGTGCTGTAAGAGCACAGTGCATGTTGTTCCAGTGCTACACCCCTGAGGTTCTGCTGCAGCCTGCATCGTTTTCAACCTCAATGTTGAAAGCAACAAGCCCATTGAATGAAAAGCCTAAATAAAAGGTCACATTTTCATTTCCCAGGGGCACTGATTCACGATGGAGTGCCAAGATGGGGAGCTTCTTTTTGTGACCTTTTGTAAACAAATTCCTGTCCTCGGTCCAGCCAGAAACTCTTTTGAGACTGTCACTAGTACTGGAAATATTCCATACAGTTCCATTTAGCCACTTCATTCTCCTCTCATCTAAAGGCCCTGTAATTAACTTATCAATTTTAGCTTTCTGCACAATCTTACTTAAGCCATAACCCTTTCCCAGAAAAAAATGGGTGTAGATTCTTCTCTTCCTGGTAGGAACATCTTTCATCTTGATGTCATATAAACGTTTCAGGGTTTGAAGGGCTGAAGTCAGAATTTCATCTTTGTCTGGATTGTGCTCTTTGTCCAGTGCCTCATCTGGCCAGTACAGCAAGGTGAGCAAAAAATAGGCACTTGCTGGAAATGGTCTCTTTACTTTGAAGAATCTTGTACTGAGCTCACGGAGAGTTTGCAGTGGCAGAAGTTTGGCTGATCCTGGTGCTAAGCAGGCTAAGGTGATGTGGCAAAAAATATAATTGATCAGGTCATTGTCCTCCAGCCTGTCACTCAGTGGGTCAGGATAGAAACTCAGGATGCTTTCTAGCTTTTCAGCCGACCTGCTCTCTTTCTTGTCCGTTAGGAAATACAGGATATTGGTGACGTTTCCTCCCCCGCTCTTGTAAATGGTCATGCGTCTGACCAGCTCGGTTTCAGGGCCATTGTTGCTCTCCTTGACAAGTGATGCTGAAATGAAGTATTTAGCATATACCCCAGACTGTCTTTTCAGCCATTTCCTGGGATTATGAATTTGTTCTTCCTTTTTATCACTTTCATCGTCCTTGTCTTGGTTTTTATCTGTCTGGAAATAGCTCAGCTCCTCTGAAATCCATTCCAGAGCGTTGTACAGTCTCTGGCGCAAGCCCTTCAGGCGGGAGTGGAGGTTTCCCCACGTCTTCTTTATCTCTTCAGGGATGTAATCTGTGGTGAGGTATTTCACCAGCTCAGTATATTCCCCCTCTGGACTCCTCTGGAACACAGGGACTGTGGACAGGAACCGGAGGAGTTGACAACCCACTTCTACTTCTCCGTGAAAGCCGGCGTTGTTCATAATGTCCCGTTCTGCCTTGGCAGCCTCTTGTGCAGCCCTGAAGCATTTCATGGCTTTAAGAGCGATCTCTATCTTCTCGATGATCGTTTCAGGGGTGTCCCCCTCCTCTGTCATTTCATCCACATGGAAACTAAACCATCTCCTGTAGACTTGACCTTCTGTATCTAAAATAAAAGAATCATTTGGCAAATGAGCTTTCGCAGTCTCCGCCCACAGTTTTGCATCTTCAAATTTTTTGTTGCTGTAATTGAGCCTGGCCAGCTGCTGGGCGAAAAAAGGATCTTTGCCAAGGAGTTCATATCCAGCTTTTAAAACAGCAATAGCTTTCTCACAGTCTTCAGCCTTCCAGACGTGTTCAATGAAGGGGGAGAAGAGCGTGTCAGTGTTGTCACCCCTGCTTCTTTTACCTCGTCGGATAAAGAGATGTTTGATAAACTTGATGAATTCTTCTCGTCCAAATCTGTTCTCAAACAGTGTCTTTTCCTGAAGAAGATTTATTGCAAGTTGACTTTGAGATTCATTCACTGAAAGCTGGTGGAGAATTTCTTTTGCCACCAGGCAGTGTATAATCCGAACGGATGAAATGTAAGTGGTGCTTTCCCTCAGCTCGATAAAAATCATTCTCGCTTGTTCACTCAGGTGGTGTTTGAAATCGTATGCTCTTGCTTTACTCTCCATATATGCCCCCAGTCCCAGAAAGGCCTCACAGTGTGACAGGGAAATGTAGGAATTGGGTACATAACAATTAAGCAGAGCCACGTAACGCACCAGGCAGGTGTCCCGAGAGTGAGGGTCTATACCCTGCAGGATGTTTGCTACCACACGTGACACGTAGGTGTCACTGAACTCCTCACACATCAGGACAAATGTAAGGATGAATTCTGGCTTGACATCTTTCTGCTTCAGTTTTTCAAGTTTGGTGTTGAAGAGGCTTTTCTCTGAGTCTGTCAGCTTGTGAGTGACAGCCACTGTGTCCAGCGGAGAAGCCTTGCAGAGTCTTTCGGGGTCATTGCATCGTCTGCAGCATATGAGGATGAAGTGAGGTCTGGGGGTGTTCATTTTCCTGGTTGCTGCAGCCTCCAATAACTCACTCTGGAGTTCTTCAAAGTATTCGTCATCATAATCTTCGATCAGGAGGAGCACAGGAAAACAGTGAGTGATTTCTCTTTCTTCATAATCTTTTAGTGCAAGCACATGGTTACAAACAGTCGAAGGGGAATACGAGGTCTTGATAACAGCACATCGAAAGTTCTTTCTGCTTTTCCATAGGACTTGCCGTGCTATTGTGCTCCCACCACTTCCAGGGTGGTGAAATATCTTTAGTTTGGCCACAGGGTAGTTCAGGACACTGCCTCGTAGAATGCCATCCAGGAGTTTGCAGGCGTCATTGCACGCTTCCCGCTCAATGATGTCCCCACAGAGCTTTTTATCAGCAAGCCACAAGTTTTCCCAGATGATTTTTCTCCCTCGGTAAAAATTTTGTTCCGTTTCTTGTATTTGCTCTTTGGTCCAAAGGTCTGATTTGGTATCATCACACTGGTCAGCACAAAGGATTTCCAGGGAGTAGAGTTTCTCCTCTTCCCTGGAGGGCAGGATGCACACCCCTCCAGTGGACACGGGCAGGTGCCTGGGCTGGGCTGTGGACGGCAGCATTGCCTGGACGGTGGCGTCGATGTGGCTGAGCTTCATGCCCACCACGCTGCGCTGCTCCAGTGTCTCGATGCTGCAGGAGGTCTGGGCCAGGTTAGCCCACCTTGCATAATTTTCTCTTGACTCTGCAATGCAAATGATGTAGTCCATGCCATTCATCTCTGTATAGAACTCCTGAAAAGTGTCCACAAGTGGTTTCTGCACTGGTGACAGGAATAGGAAAAGCACAATGAAAGACCTCTCTGGCAGGATTTCCTCACAGATACAGGTAATGACTTTCTTAAGGTGTTTTTTTTTTGTTCTGATCCACGTGTTTTCATCGCAAGGTTTCTCATCCCCCAGGAAGTCACTGCGCCCATTGCAGAATATCCAGCTGGTCTGATCAAACAGTTTCTGAGAGGGAGGGGCATCAGCCTTAATTGCCTTGAAAAAATCCTGTAAAAAATAAGAACTTGCTTCGTGGTGCTCTTTGTACTTGCTGCATAGCCCTGACACGTTGGAATGTTCATCAAAGTCAAAGACACAGAAGATGTTCAGGTGCATTAAGAAGTTGATGTAGTTCAGATGATCCTGCTCACATCTGTTTGTGACAAGGATGTACCGTAGGGAATCATCCATGTAGCTTTTGCCATCGTTTAACAGGATTGATAACTTTCTTCCTAAATCCTGAGGTATTTCTGTGTGCACCTGTGTGCTGGAGAGCTCAGCTTTTTCTCTCTGAGCATCCCTGTCTGGCGTAGCCTGGATAAAAGCGGTGAGTTTGTTGCGCTGCACAGGCTCAGACTTGGCTCCCACTCTCTGGTAGAGCTCTGGCTCTTTGGTCAGGGTCACCTTGCGGCTGCTTTCGTTGTAGTTTGGCAAACACACTTCAAAACATCTATTCTTTACTAAGGTGTGTGTTGGTTCAATGTCAACCTCCACCACAAACCTTTGTTCCTGAGGGGCTTTTGAAATCACTTCAATAAAAACAGGTGGGTGAATGCATTTCCTTGCAGTTTCTTGTAAATTATCACAAAAGCATTTTTCTACATATAAATCCAGTGCTTCAACATAGTCTTCTCTGTTTTTGACCTTTATGCCAACGACCTGTCCGTGTTTCCAACCCTTGTTCTCGACACTGTCCATGACACCAAAGTGGATGGTGCCGTTGGTTCGAATGTTCATGCAGGCTGAAGCAAATCTTATCAATTCAGAGGCAAACTTTGCTTGCAGTTGCTTTTTGTCCAGTTTTGAAGCAGTGTCCAAAGATTTGTATTCGTGGCAAGGAATGATTAAATCAGTGACTCCTGATTCTGGAACAAGAACCGTGTCTTTCACGTACTTGAAGTCGACATCCTGACTTCTAAAGGGCCTGCAGTTTCTGACCTCCAGGACTTCCTCAGGCCCTTGAGGTTGGGTGTTGTCACTGCTGCTCTGCCTGTCTCCAGAGGCAGGAGCTGTGCTGCCAGTGCTGGTTGTTCCCATGGCCCCAGAGCTGCCTCCCCCGGCCGTGCTCTGAGCTGGGGCACTGCTGGGAGTCCCCGGGGCTGTCTGTGCCTCCCTCCCGTCGGGTGCTTTGCTGCTGGAACTCGTGGCTGGCTGGGCGTGGTCCTGCAGCTGCAGAAGTTCGTTTCTCTTGCGGATTAAGAGCTGCATTTGGCCTTTCTTCATACCTATTTCTTTGAGGAAAGGCTTATCCAGTTCCATTAGCACTGGCCCTGTCACTTCCTCTTTGTACAGTTTATCTATGGACTCCTTCTTGATTCCAATGGATTCCAGCCAGCATTTGACGTGGTTCTCGTCCCAGTCGCTCACAGGTAACGTTGGGTAATCTAGAAGTTACAATTATGTATGTAAGATGATGTTAAGAGTACTGATTAGTTCCCCACTAGAGATGAATCCTTAAAATGCAGATATTAAAAAGGAAATAGCTACATATAAAGTACAAATTTTCCAAAAGCAATACATACCCATTGTCTTGGGTGAGGGAAATCCTGTTGTTAATGCACAAAACCCTAGAGGGGGAAAAAATAACTGTCTTCAGATTTACAGTTAACATTTCTGTGTTAACATCCCCCAGGTTCCATCCCTTGCTTTCTAGGGCCTTTTTTCACTCTCCCTTCCCCTGCCTTTTGTTCCCTTATGCTCCCTTTTTTCTGGGTACACTCTCCTCCTCTCCCTCTTTTCTCCACGTGTTCTGGTGCTCACCAAAGTTTCTGTGGAGCAGCTCAGTGCCTGACCCAGCAGAAGAGTTTCTGTTCAGCGCGGTGTCCTTGCCCGAGACTTCACATCCATTCCCAGGGGTTCAGAGGGGGACAGCAGGGACAGCTGGCTCTGCACTGCCGGAGGAATGGGATAAATACACCTGCTCAGCATCACAGCACGAGAGATTCACACATCAGCCATAGCCACCCCTGAGCCCCAGCCCAGCCAGCTCAGGTCACAGCCAAAGGTGTGTGGTGATGGGGGGGTTCTTCTCTCATGGGGTGGAAGCTCAGCTCTGCTGGCTCAGCAGGGGCAGGAGCTGTGCCAGCTCCCTGCCTGCAGCTCAGGGTGCTCCAGCAGCTGCTCCCAGCTCTGAAGGTGCAGCAGGAGCAGCACAAAGGCAGTCTGAGTGCTGTGTGAGCTCCACTTGTCTGCAGAGGTGGAACCGAGGGAAGGTCACAAGCACTCGCTCCCGGGACCACAGCCTGGCACGAGGTGAGTGTGGCACAAGGTGCTGGTTTGGGTCTGATAGAATAGGGGATGCTAGAAAAGAGTGGGGTGTGCACACTGATCGTTTCAGCAGCTGGTCCGCCCTGCAGAGGCTCAGGTGTGGCCGTGGCTCTGGTGTGGGCAGGTGGCTCTGAGGGGAGCCTGTTACGGGACTGCCCTGCTGTGCTGTGGGTGCCAGGGGATCCCTTGCAGTCAGCAGGAACAGGCTGGTTGGGAAAACGGTGCGAGACATTTCCACTGACACTTGGTGCAGCCTTCCGCGAGAAAGAGGGCAAAAAAGGTCCCTGAAATACTGCTCGTGTAGTTCCTCCGGCCACCTCCCGGGGCGTGGCTCGTGAATCCTCCCCTTCCCCATTCCCGCGCGTCTCTGCCACAGCCCGCTGTGAGCGCGACGTCAGGGGAAACGAAAGGGAAACGAAAGGGAAACGAAACTTGCCGGGGAATCGAAACTGGAGTGGAGGGGGGACAGGGCTGCGGGAGCGAGCCCGGATGGGCCCCGATCCCCCCGGGTTTCAGAGCAGCCGGGGGCGGCAGTGGGATCGCGGTCCCTGCAGCCGTGTGCGCTCCGGCAGGGTTTGAGTGGGCAGCGAGGGGATGCAGCTGCAGGTGTGGGGGCAGAGGGGTCTGTGCCCACCTCCCTGAGCTGCTCAGACAGTCCCACCTGCTGCTGCCGAGCAGCTCTTACCCTGCGGGATGTCCGGGGGCAGAGCTGGGCTGGTGGCACTGCAGGGACAGCCTCGCTTTTCCTTAACCCTGCTCCCAGGAAGGTGATCTGCCAGGCTGGGAATAACCCCCATCCCGCAGGACCCCTGGGCACAGGGAGGGCCCGAGGCTTACCTGGCAGAGCCCGTAACGGGATGTCTCCAGCGCTGTCCTGCCCGCAGGGAAAGGCTTTCCCACAGGAGGGAGGGAAGGTGCTCCGAGCTGTGGTGCCAGGTACTGGGTGCGTTCCGCAGGGCTCCTGCAGGTTTGACTGCCAAAAGTAAAAGACGAATCTCTTTAGACAAAGTCCTGATGAGCCACCAAGTCTCCGCCCCGTTCTGAGCAGGGTGGTGCTACTGGGTGGTGCTGTCTTTGCAATGCATCCTGAGCCCCACCACCATGCATGTGTTAGGATGTGATATGCCAGGTTTTTATTTAAGTTTTTTAACTTCCAGATGCAGCCACTTCCTGCTCTCTTTGTCAGCTAGATGCTCCCTCCAGGCCAGCTCACCACAGTTGAGGCTGGCAGGGTCCCAGAGCACCAGGCGGGCACAGGGAGGCTGTGCTGGTTTTCTTTTTCCTGTAAAACACGTGATTAGTTACCAGCTCAGATGCACCAAAAAAATTAATTCACGGCCATCACTTGACAGTGCAAATTCTTGCAGCCATGTTGTCTTACCTGCTCACCTGCCTCAGCCTCCAGCAGGGAGGGGATGGTGCCTGGGGCCTGTCACAGTTAACAGAGGCTCAGTGCTCACCCACCCCAGCAGCTCTGCGTGGTTCCTGCACTGGAGCCCCCCTGGATCAGCAGCCAGGCTCACAAACCAGGCCCGTGCCCCTTTCCCAGGGAGCCAGGACAGGGCTGCTCGGGCAGGAGCCTCTTCCCTGCTCGCTGCCCCAGCCCCAGTCCTGGCAGCAGATCCCAGACACACTGAGAGCTGGGGGGTTTTCATCTGAGTACAAGTCTTTATTTAGTAATTTATAAAAGAACTTTACATGAGAAGTACAAAAATATGAAATAGGCTTTGAATCTTCTTAGGTAAAATTACCATTATTTTTTCAAGCTTTAGAAACATGTAACCTGCACAGTTTGGCATCTTAGGTAAATTGCTCTCATACATTGTAAAAATAGGAAAAAAACTTCCTGTAAAGTAGCTGTATGCACCCAATCATACATATTACTGGCAATAATTTATTATTTTAAGACACAATGGCACAGTCATACAAATTCCCACTCTGTAATTTCTAATTAATTAGTTCCATTGAAAGATGCAGTATCACTTTCCTCCTCCAGTTGTTAACAGGTGATTAAATACAAACACAAACCCGATTAAGACTGATCTGGCATGTTTCATACCTGTACCACTTGGATTCCACCCCACTTTGTAGTAAAAATTAAATAAATATAAATACCTTAAATAAATACACAGTAAAAGAACATCCCAGTTCCATCACAGAACTCAGCATTTCTTCGTCCTTTGCACACACGATGCTGTCACAGCCAGTGACAAGAAATCCTGCATCCTTCCACCCCCAGGCTGCCAGGCAGGGAGTCACCAGCCCGGACAGTTCCACGGCACCCCCTCAGCACTGCCCTGGTTCCTCTGCTCCTCACAGCTCTCCTTGTTTCCTCTTCAGCTCCTCCTGCTCAGGACTCTCTCACCCCTGGCTCCATCGTGGCAGTGTTTTCCTGTGGCTGAGGGACAGCTGCTGACCCACGAGCAGCTCCCAGCTCTGCTCCCTGCCCTTCCCTGGGCAGAGCTCTTCTGATCCTGTGACTGGAGTCGAGGGCTGGTCAAGCTCTTCTGTGAATACTGGTTGATATCAAAGTGAGGCTTGTTTGCAAAGAAGGTAAACCTTGAACTGATTTTCCAAGTCAGTTTTGTTTAGAACTTCGTTGTCTCTGCTCCAGTACAAGGGATTAATTTTCCAGGGCAGGACTGATGAACCAGCAGTGGTTCTTTCCTACTGGCTTTGGGTAATGAGCGGTGATTCCCTCTGCAGTCCCTGGTGTGCCCAATGCCTCACAGGGCAGTAGTGCAATGGCAGGTTTGGATGATTTGCTACAACCAAAGGGCTCCTTTTGCAGTTCCCAGTCCTTTGTAATTATGATTTCAATTACTGTATTTTGATTTTTTTTCTTTTTGTAATAAAACACATCAGTTACAAAATCACATACAGCACAGGGAGATGGTTTTATCCAGGTTTTGCTCTCCACTCCCACAGTCTCGAACACTGCCTCGGAGTACATGACTCCATCCCCAGGGTCCATCGCCTGACCTCTGGCTCCTTGGGCTCCCACCACCTCCTGATCCGGCACAGGCAGAGGGACAAGGCACTTTTTGGAAGCTTGGTTTCTTCAAAGAGAGAGAGAATTCAGCTCTTTGATCCCACTTTTCCCTGCTAAAGGTAGGCCTGTGCTTGGAATGTTGGTCCCAGAGAAGAAAGCTCCATCCCTGTCCTCTCAAACAGTGTCTCCTGCCAGGCTGAGCTCTGCAGAGTCCTCGGGGTAGTAATGCTGGAACAGCCTCTCCTGGCAGCAGATGTGCATGGCCTGGTAGGTGTGCAGGAGCAGGCGAGGGAACCGAGCTGTGAAGTAGCACACAAAGTCCTCTGGGATGGAGCCCAGGGTCTCCTGCACCTCGGGAGGCAGTTCCCTGTAGTGGTGCTTCTGTGGAGGAAAACACAAGATGGCAAAGCTCAGCTTGTGTTCAAGGAGCCTCTTGGAAATAGAGCTGTTGGTGTTCCTGGACAAGGAAAGCTCCTGTTCTGTCGTGCAGGAGCTCAGTGCCTACACTGAGGGGAGGCACAGGCTGGCCCCAAGCAGGGGGGTGAGGGAAAGGAGTCCTTTACCTTATTTCTCATGGCCCTCAGAAGGTCCCGTACAGAGCCTCCCTTATAGGATCTGAATTTTCGAAGATCTGCAAGAGAAATGACACCATTTCTTCTCGTGTTGTGATGCAGTTTTGGTTGCTGGGGTGTGTCCCCACACTGCAGATCCTCGAGGGGTGTTTCAGTACATAAACAGGGACTGGAGTTTGAAGAAATACTCTGGTGACAAGTAAAGGTCATGTGCCAAAACTGAGACAGAGTTATCCTTACTATCCTGTCCCGGCACACTGGGAACAGCATGTAACTCCCTTCCCCTCAGAGAAACACTGCCATTACCTGTCTGAAGAGGAACAGTGATGTGCTCTCTCCAGTCCATTTTCACCACTTCTCTTCCACCTCTTTCTAATTGCTTGACTATTGGACCATCTAAAGATTCCTTCTCTATCCGGTCACTAACATCCTGCAGGAGACAGTCACATTATTTCTAGTTTTATTTCTGAGTTTTTCCCAACAATTTCAAATTGCTGCTTCTGGCCAATTACAGCCTGTCCTGGTAATGACGTTAGAATTTCACTTCACTCCTTGACAGTGCTTGGGAATAGGATACAGAAGTTTGAGATGATTTGTTTCACCAACTGCCAAAGCCTTTTTAGCACAGAGGAGATGAAACCTCAGGTCCTCAGCCAGTTCCCACCCCCCATCAGGATTTAGTGCATATTCACTGCTGTTCCTGACCCCTCCCAACCACCTTCTCAGTCCTGTCCTGCTGGAGACCTTCCTCATTGACAGCTCCACCTTTTGGCCTCCTAGACAAGGTGGTGCTGGGTCAAAGGTTGGACTCCATCTCAAAGGTCTTTTCCAACCTCCTTGATTCTGTGCCTAAGCCAATTCCTCAGGAGCTACTCCCAGCTATTACAGCTTTGCTCTTCACTCCTCACAGAAAGGCTGTGGCTTCTGAATTCAAGACTACAGGAGTCCTGAGAACTAAAGGAGAGAAAAGGTCCCCACAAACCTGAAAGAACTGGAGCTGTTTCTCCAGGCTCCAGAAGAAGGGGTGTTTCAGCACACAGCTGGCAGACGGCCGCTTCTGAGGGTCCATGTTTATCATCTGCTCGATTAAATCACGAGCAACTATGTCCTCTGCAAGCAAAAAGGTTTGTTACTTCTTTTGGCTTATTTTATTTTTCCTACACTCTCAGGCTGTTAGGAAATGTAGTGTTTTGTACTTTTATGGTATTTTGTACTTTACAAATTCATCTTGGTCTCCACTTCCTCCTGCCCCATCACAGACATGCTGGGCAACAGCAGGAGAGCACAAGGGTTGACTCAGAGACTCAGAATATCACAGTGCAGCTTTCTCCTGCCCTTTAACTACAGGAAATAACTTCACAGGACTCCAAACTGTGTACCCCACAGATGCTCTGGGTATTAGAACTGAGAACTTTAGGTCCTTTACTTCAGGAGTACCTGAGGAGTACAACTGTCACTGCTATCAGCCTGGAAATCCTGGGGGACAGAGTTCTCTCATTTCTGTTGGCATTTTACACCGTGGGACGTTCCCTGATCCCTGTGGAGTGTCCTTACCATGTCTCCCTGCATCCAGGGCCTCCAGGCTGTAGGCTCCCAGCAGGATGTTGGCTTGTCGCTGCAGGGACTTGCCGAAGGGGTGGCCGCCTTCTGACACCACGTAATAGAAGACACAGCCAGCTGAGAAGATGTCCACGGTGTAGGTCTGCAAAGAAACAACCTTTAAGAGCAAGGACATTTTTTTTCCCCCCGAAGACTCTGATCATCACAGGGTGGTGATTTTGCAGAAGGAAATTTCCAGAATAGCACACTGAGCTGCAAGGCAGCCTGAAGGCCCAGGCCCCAAGTCCTGTGCATTGCAGGGTCTGGGCTGCTCCTGGGGAAGGGGAAGGACTTACAGGGTTCTCTTTGCAGTCCTCACTCAGCATCTCCGGGGCGATCCAGCCCTCGGTGCCCGGCACGCCCGAGCGGCGGCTGAAGCTGTGCCGACCCACTGCCAGCTTCTTGCACAGCCCAAAGTCTGAGATCATGGCCTTGACCTTCCCGTGGGCATTGGGCATCGAGATCAGGATGTTGTGGGGCTTCAGGTCCCTGTGGACTGTTACAAACACCCATTTACCACTCAGGCACTCCCAATGATATCTGCACCTATTGCAGTGAACCTTTCACAGGGCTGAACACCCCTTGTTAAACCAAAGTGCTGACTTCAATTGACTGTCGTCACTTTTTTATTCCATCACCACTAGTCCTCATGTTCTACAGGACTTCCCTCCAAAAAATGCAGTGCCCTGCACAAACAGTAAGGACCAGCTTTAGTGCTTCAGGGCAGCAGTTCCAGTGACAAGGCTGGCATCAAATCACAGAATCACAGGATGGTTTGGGTTTAAAGGGACCTTTAAAGACCATCTCGTTCCAACCCCCCTGCCATGGGCAGGGCCACCTTCCACTAGGCCAGGTGGGCAGACCAGTACCAGAGCAGTTTCTCTTCTTTTCCCAGCTCAGAGAACGTCCCCCTCATGCAGCCCAGCCAGGAGGTTCTCACCGATGCTCAGGGAGTGCAGGTAGGCCAGCCCCGCCGTCGTCTGCTGCAGGACAGTGATGGGCTGCAGGCCGTGCTGGCTGAAGGCCTTTTGCTCCACGTACTGCAACACAGAACAGGCAGAGTCAGCCCCAACACTGCTCAGCAGCTGCAGAAATGGTAAATCTGTGCACTTCACCCCCCCAGAAATGTTCAGCTGGGTAAATTGTGCCAGCTGGTAACACAGGGAAAAGAGCTTTGTTTTGGCTGAAGGTGCTGATCTCTAAGTGTCATTCAGAGCTGGAATTCTGCAGAGCACTGTGCTCCAGAAACAAGGGCAGAGAGTTTTCAAAAGTCTGGGTGGTGGGAGGGGGAGAATGACTAGAAAAAAAATCCAAAGACAGCAGTGTCTGTCCTT